AGACCTGTAGGTCCAGGTCAGACCTGTAGGTCCAGGTCAGACCTGTAGGTCCAGGTAGGACCTGTAGGTCCAGGTCAGACCTGTAGGTCCAGGTAGGACCTGTAGGTCCAGGTCAGACCTGTAGGTCCAGGTAGGACCAGTGTTCCTGCAGGCTGCCTGCCTCGTTTACAACGTTGCCATGGAGATAAGGATTAAGTGATGTGATATCATCTGTTGCCATGGCAGCAGTGATAATCCACGTCTCATTAAAGCTGCAGGTTTGAATCCAGGACCGGTTTAATCCTGACGGAGGATCAGGATCTGAAACATAAAGAGTTCAAAGAAAACTTTAAATCTGTGAACTGAGAAGTGTTTAAAACATCTTTGTTTAAATAAAGAGGCTCAGCATGAACTCTGCAGGTCCTCTGAACCCTGGTCCTGATCCTGATCCAGACCCTGGCTCTGCTGTCAGCAGGTCCTCTGAACCCTGGGCCTGATCCTGATCCAGACTCTGGCTCTGCTGTCAGCTGCAGGTCCTCTGAACCCTGATCCAGATCCAGATCCAGACCCTGGCTCTGCTGTCAGCTGGACCTGGTTCTGACCCGTTTATATGTCCTGACATGTTAACAGAAACACTGAGGTTGTTTCAGCTGCAGGATTTAACAGAATCCAAACATCCAGATGTAGGTCACATCTGTTCAGCTGCAGTCACTGTCCACTCCTCTTCATCATCTTCATCCTCCTCCTCTTCATCATCTTCATCCTCCTCCTCTTCATCCTCCTCCTCTTCAGAACTGGATTCAGGTCTCTGGTTTCACATCAGTTCTTCAGATGGACTTGAGGACATCTTTGCTTTAAGCTAGCCAACTGTAGACCAGAGCCCCGCCCACTGAGACCAGGTGTCCTACCTGCTCAGGTGGACCTGTTGACCCGTCCCTCCAGCAGACTAAAGAAAGGGTTTTAAGACTCGTCCCTCAATCAGGGTTTCATTTTGGGCCGTCTGTAGGTCTGCCAGCAGAGACAGTCAGGTGTGGAACATCGTGTCCTGCTGTGGACAGTTTGTCCCCAGCAGACAGGAAGTTCTAAAGTTTGGACATTTACCTGAGGACCACCTGGGGTCACCATYGTCCTCTTGTTTGAAATTATGAGTTTTTTTTGTTCTGAATCAGCAAAAAGCTGCAGCTTCAGATGGATTTAATGTTCATCAGATGAACAAGAAAAACCTCCAACAGGACCATGTTTCTGATGAAACTTCAGTGTTTCTGCTTTATTCAAGTTATTTCATTTGTATATATA